AAGACGCGTGGATAAGCTGCTTCCAACATACATCGCTGGATATCAGCAAAGTATGCTAGCAACAGCTTATTCACTTTTATCAAGTGCAGCGGCAGTCACGTCACTCCCGAGGACAGGCCTGCCCCAAGCCTCGAATATCGACTCTATATACATACGTATAGACACACAGCCACCATTACTGCCCCGAATCCCAAAATTTCATTTTCTGTCAGACTTTTTTCACAGGGGCATTCGATACCATGATTTCAAAACCGACATTAATTTTTGGCATTGGCGTCATTTGGCACCAAATGGCTTTGTTACGACTTCTATTTTCCCGAATTCGCTTCAATTTCATATCACCTGTATCACCTGTCGTCCCGTTGATCAAATTGCTCGAGCGGGCGCCAGCAACGTCTCCATTCGTCCCTGTCGCGTGCAAGAGTGGTCCAGTGGATCCTCCTCGCTCGAGGGACACGAAGTCCTTCATTCCTTTCGTTCAGAGCTTTCGTGAAGAAGTCTGACCATCGGGCCGGCGGTCGTCCAGGTGTTCGTTTGACGTCCCGAGGGATCCAGTCGGTAACCGCTCTCCAACGGTCATCGCAAAATCGCATGACGTGTCCGGCCCACCTTATCTTCGATTCCTTGGCGAAAACGGCAGCGTCCCTGATCTTCGATCGTTGGCGTAGTTCCGAACTCCGGATTCCCCTCTGCACTTGCGTGTATAGGGTTACTCCTAGCATCGTCCTCTCGACAGCGCGTTGGATAACGCTGACCGCATGCTCGTTCTGCCTGAGAGCCCTAGTTGAGGTAGATTAGGGCAGGAAGGACTGCAGGATCGTGAAGATCGTATGAACGGCACTATATATTGTACTAGGCGCACCATGATGTTGCTTCTACAAACAGACTACAGCGCAGATACACATCAATAGTATATTGAGAGCTGCTAAAAATTGGTTCCCTTTAAAAGGTATCAGCGATGGGTTCATTTTAAACCGTAGCTCGCCTGTCTACAAGGTTGAAACCCAGACCTTTTGGGACACAGTTTCAAGCTAGCATCAAATTGTAGCAGAGTCACACCGCAATGCCGTCACCCAACCCCTAATGCTAATGAATGCTAGCTCATCACTTTTGGTGAGTTTTTCCTCTTTTCTGTTATTAGTGTCAAATAGTTCTGCACATTCTGATTACGGATTCCGTTTCAGGGAAACACCAGACTACCACTGAAACTAGAAGGAAATCCGCAAGACCTGCTATCTCAATCATGGAAAGCAACAAAACAACTCAAGCTGCGCAATCTGCTACAGGTGATGAGAAAAGACATTCTCCTCACTTTAATCGTCTGTAAGGATAATTACGCTACATACATTGTTTTTACGTTCAGGTTATAAGTTGCGAAGTAAAATCGATGAAACGACGCTACATTTGTTCTCATACAGTGGTCACTCCACCATAAATTCCTTCACGACGATCAGCGAAATTTCACCTGCAACTGGTGCGTGAATACCTACCTGCAGTAGTCTTCAGATAGTATATGGCAAGTGTGCATTTTATAATGCGCTGGCACTGATTTAGGGAAAAATACTCCAGCCTCTGGCACTACAAAGAACTCCATACGGTACAATCCCATATCAATCAAGGAAAACAGCAAAATAGCACAAGCCGTCACAGGTAATGAGAAGGGGGTACTGTCCGATTTCCTTATCTAATTGTTATTTTTATTTATTTATTTACATTGCGTTTGCATAAGGAAATCGTGAGAAAGACAGAAGAAGAAGCACGGATTGTACAGTACAATTGCACAGTACAAACATGAATTGTACAACTGAATACAGCAAGAATTGGAAAATAGAACAACGCCTCAGTCATGAATTTGATTCGCCCCCTGAAAGTAATTAGATGATCCCAGGTAAGTCAACAGCAGCAGTAGTTGCTACATTTTAGTAAGTTTTAGCGCAATAACACGCGTCCCACTTTGCACACCTCGTGGGACATTGTGACGCGGTAACGCGTCCCACCCAAGTCATCCCTTTTTCTTGCGCTTGTGCGACTTATTCCTAAGGTCTTTGTACTCATTCTATAGGTCATACATTAGCATACTTAAAAACCACATGGCTCACAGAAAGGCCAAATATTCTTTAGTTTGGCAGAGGTTTTCCAGACCTTACGGATATGTCTGTTCAGTTCATTCCTCGTTTTCTTTTCATTAACGTGAAATGTTGATAAAAAGGAATAATAGAAGCGAATATTCCTGCTACAAGACATGTTTTTCTACTGAAACATTCACTTCCAAATTAATTTTGGAACGACTAAAGAGAAATTGAGTGAAATTGCCTTTTCATGGCCTTGACAGGTCACTTCGGATCAAGGCGGCCGAACCACACCACCCTTGCTGAATTATTACACAAGCTCAAGCGAAAAACCGTTGAGAGGATATCGATCGCTACGAAGCAAAACATAACAAGTCCGTCTTTGGGGTGTTAATCCACTGCGTTAAGTTACGTTCACCTCCTAAGAAAAGGTTTCCAGACTCTCAGGCTAACACCCTGTTCACGCGCGCAGAAGCGTCGAAGAACTCATCAAATTACGGAGTTACAACGGGTAAGTTGCTTTCCGCGCTGTGGCTTCCTGAATTTGGGCATCTGGTAGTTCTACTAATTCAAAATGCTATGAGTATTCGGCTTGAGGTACGAAATTTTCGCGCTTATGAAAGTGGAGCAGAAATAGCCTTGACCCTTGACTAGACAATACGGCTGGAAACGCTCGGCCTATATAGAAGCGTTTTAGGTGCAAAACCGACTACGCGAAGCTCAAGTGGCGAAACTTCGCTTAGATCAACGAGCAGTGGTGCGATAAAAACAGTAGAAGGCACAATTACCGCCGAAACATCCAAAGAGTCAAAGCACGATCAGCAAACTACAGCAAGTGTGTTAATACAAAATGAACTGAGTGATAATCCCTATCCTTCTATTTTATAAAGCGCTAACTTTGTGTGTCGGTTTGTATGTCTGTATGTGTGTATGTATGTATGTGTGTCCGTCCGCAAAATGAAGTGGTAGGGAAACTCGTGAAGTAAACAGACCGTTAACAAAATCGAGTAACTATGACTTTAGCAATCAATGTTTTGCAGTGCTATCAATGTGATAACACCCCAACGGCTATATAAACACCTACTGAGCATGGTCTCATTCATTCCACATGATGCTGCAATAGCAGCTGGAGAGCAGTAGAGGGAATAGGATAAGATGGAGAAGGGCGAGGGGAGCTAACCGCCAAAAGACCTGAGGTCCAATTAATATCATTCTAAGGTCATGTCACGATTACGGTAATGCCTTCTACTATATAAGACACTTTTTTGTGCATGCGTGCCACCTCCACGAGGTGTCCATGTCACCAGTGGATGGGAGCACATTGGAAGGAGTAAAGCTTACGCAGGTAAGGAGGTCCCGGTGGTTGCCGGGGGACCAATCTGGTATAGATAAGATATGTATGTATGTATGTATGTATGTATGTATGTGTTTTTGATACAAAAGTATTAAAAAAGTAATAGTGTCGTAGTATAAAAGTTCCTATAAATAAGGAAATGGGCGGGGTTTGCGCGGTGGGCGGAGTCTGGATATGGCCTATGCGGGGGGTCCGTGGGCCAGGGGGTGTGTGTGTGTGTGTGTGTGTCACGAAATTCATAGCACGCGTCGCAGCAGTCGTCAGGACTTGATTCTGGGAAATGATATGGGGGGTGGGACGGTAACATATTTGGTGGGGGACAGAAGGTGATAACAGCTGATAAGATCCGATAAGGGGCGTTAGAATGCGGGTCACGAAATTCATAGCGCGCGTCCCAGCAGCAGAGGGGGTTGGTTCCAGGAAGTGCAGGGTGGGACGGGAACATATTTTGGTGGGGGTCATAAAGTGATAAGGACTGTTAATGGCGATATACGTAACGACATAGAAATAGCTTAAAACCAAATACTAGATAAGAACCAAACTCATTTCTTTCCTTCTTCGTCGCGTATTATCGTCTCGAAATCCATTCGACCGCTACTCTTTAGAAGCTCTTAGAAATGTATGGACTGAGTTTTCTATCTTAACACCATTAGCATCAAATATCATCCAACCGATAAACTACCCTGACATTGCGTATCAAACGGTGAACTTCAGCAAAATGGGGAGATGCTATGAGAAAGGTCGGCTGGCGCATGTTCCGATTCTTTAGCGGTGGAATCTAATGTTGCACAGGTCATACATTTTCAACGAAGCTAACTGTGTCACGTGCGCGGTAGCGTGCGGAGCTAAACTGGTAAACAATGTGAGAGTTTCAATATTTATTACAGCCCCCCCCCCCCCCCCCCCCCCCCCCCCCCACCCCCCCCCCTACGAAGTTATACAAAATTAAATTGCAAAAGCGTGGGAGTTCAAAAGGTTTGCAAAAGTTAAGGTCTTTTGGGCCACCTTTCGGCGCTTAGCGCCTTTGTCAAGCCTGAAATGAAATGAATAAGTAGAGACTTTGGGGTATGTTAATACATGAAATTTTATAATATTAACCGACTTACTTGCTGAACGCTGACAAAGTGTAACTACTTACCACCCTGTTGGTTTGTGAAGCAGGAACCATTCCCTACCCTGGTCTTACCCTTAAATAGGGTGTACGTGCTACATCCGCCATTTAAAATATCGCATTCGTTCCACAGTGATGATAAGCAGTTGCATGCGTTAGGAAGTTGCAAGAGAGTCACTTATAACTTCGTCTCTTGCTATTTTTTCCAGGGCTAGTCTTTCTTAGTTTCCAGTGGCCTCTTGACGTCAACTGTTTTCGATGGATCGTGTCTTGACTTGAGGATGTGTGGAGACCCCGTGGGCATGTTTTGAGTTCAAGATTTGGAGAACCTATTACCTGGACACGAAACCGGATTTGTAGAGCCTTCCGAAGTACGTATTGAAAGCGAGGAATTCCTCACGACATTGTTGACCTCCCATGCCGTTTTTCCTTGACAGTTGTAAAGTATATTCAAAACCTATAGCGCCAACATCAAATTGGCAGGTACATTTTCACTGCCCCATTGAAATACGCAGATTTCACCAGCTGCTGCCTCATACGATGAATCGGGTAATTTCTCCTCAAGCGCAAAACTTACCACGTGACGCTAAAATTTCTAGAGGATACCTTTCTCTTTAGCCTTCAGAATATACCTTCACAAAAATAATCAAGCAGTGCAAACTAACCCTGCAGAACTAAATGTTTCCCTGTTAGACGCCAGCATCGCGAAAAGAAACAGGGATGCATTCGGGGGATAATCTCGTCAAGGGAGTTTCTGAGGCTAGGCATAGGACCCGGGCTATGGAGGATAAAACCAAATAGTATGCTCTCGTCTGCGGAGAGCGAAGCTTGCCGCCTCAATAGGAAATTACAAAACTCACAGACAGGCCGATCCACTGGGAATGGAATGCAGTGCCTCCGAAACGTTGTACTATCATAGGGACTAATGAAGTGGATGATGATATGGAGGCAGCACTCACTCTAGGATCATCCTTTGCTGTATCAGGATCGTTGAATTACAGGACGATGAACTCGGTTTGCGTTGGCTTCAACAAACTTGCTTATCAATTGCGGTGGCAACGCATTGGTTCTACCGTCCCCGATAGAGAATCAACTTGCAGAACCATTCCCCAAAGCTGCTTTTAGTGTCTCAAAGCAACTACCCACTCTGGAACCATTACTAGCTTATACATACTGAACTGCTTAAGAAGTTTATTCAGCAGCGTTGCAATTAAAGTTTGGTTCCACACATGACGGAACAGGATTTGCGAGGGCTAAAAGCTAATAGCTAAAAGAGGGGAGCTGAAGTATAGCATTGCGAAGATAAAAGTGGGACTTTCGTCGTCATTTATTTAACACATTGACGACCGCGCGCGTTTTGGCTTTTTTGGCCGTGTGGGACCGGGCCGATTTTGCGAGTGCGACCGCCGCACCTCGGATCCGTGAATTTTTATTGATAACTTTTTAAAGCACCAGTGGTACAAAAACATCTCAGTAACAGTCAATGCGTAGAAGGTAATAGAGTATATAGTGACGAAGTTCCGATTAAAGAACATGTAATGGTAATGAAAAAGGAAATTTTAGTCATTTTATCTGTAGTGGATGCCAAAAGCTCTTTTGATGTGGTTATACCAAGTGAAACATGTATTTTTCTGTCTCTTTAGATTTGCATTTACTTTCACTACCCTTTTTTATTGACGTGTTCATGAGAATAGCATGAACACTATTAATGAACCGAGCCGCCGGTT